ATAATAAGTGATAGCCACCTTGTGCCTTGATAATGTAACCGTGCGATCCCCCATTTTACGCTTTAAATTAACGAGAAAAAAACATCTATATAGCTATATTTTCAATATAAATAAAATATGTAGAGCTCAAACTTCTTCATTAAACTATAAACCTTTACCTCTGCCTTTCGAACATTCAGTAACATTGAATAAAACGGTATGTTATTTTTAACAAAAGAAAAAAAGCCCCAAAAATATATAGACAGAAATATAAAAGGTTATGTTTAATTATGAAACATAAATAAATGTATTTCAAATTTAAGATGTTCAATAATTACTTTGGATATCGGACCCTTTGAATTTGAAACAAAACTCGCAAGTTCATACAGCTAATTTGTTTAAATCCGCAGAGAGGAATTCATTTTTAGGTAAATAGGAAACAAAACGAACATCTTTCGACAGCGACCGACACGCGTGAACGCACTGACTGAGGCTTCTTGGCGGATTAAAAATTTAACCACGGATTCTACGGCAGAAAGAAAAATTCCAATCCGCTTTCGCTCACAAAGCATTTATCCAGTACGGGCATATAAATAAGTACCAGAAGATTAATCGAGGCAAGAAGTGCAAGATACACAAAACGAGGTCGTTCGGCACTACTCTATCGCTGATCGGTGTTGTGTTTGTGGCTTTCCAACCTTGTGCACTACATTGAGACGCGGATATTTTATCATGCCGTCTTACTTGCTGTTTCATGAAACTTCTAAAACTAGAACATACAGCGCGGTCATATCACCGCTAATCAATTTTCCGTGTTTGCAGTCGCCTAACCACAGAGTAATAACGCAGTATTTGCTGGTGTTTCTTACCGGGGATAGTTTACCCAAGGAACGGTACAGCATACCACCGCGTCTAGCAATAATCTGGCGGAATCATTAATATCAAAGTGCACAGTGGTCATACATTGCACATAAACGACTTGTCAAATAGATATACAGACATTTAAAATTCTCCTATTGATATCGAAGTATAGCTTCCATTTCTCGAGCTCGTTTTTCCTTTGTAGTGATATTTTCTTAAACATTTCACTTTCAAAACAGAGCTGCCTACATCTTAAGTTAGACCGTTTAAGCGCGTTTAAGGCAAACACAATAAATACATTAATAAAACTATCCGTGCCGGTTCACGAACAATTTCACAAACATGATCTGTGCACTAAGGAAGACCGCAGCAGACAAGAAAGTGTTCCAAGTAAAAGATAAGAACCGTCAGCCAAAACAAAATTCCTGTACCTGGCGATTCCAAAATTCCTGGTGGTTTGAATGAGACCAGAATCTTTCGCCTGAAAGATGAGGCATACAATTACTACACCGTCATAAGAAAAAGAAACATGCTAGTGCCAGCAAAGAAAAGTTTATTTTGTTTTGTTGGTTCCTTTTGTCTCGTTAGCGCTGAGTGCCCTCAAGCAATCGCCAATTCGCCGCCCCTCCCCCCTTTCCCCCACTAAAGCATACAAAAAAAACACGCATACAAGTACGTGCTATCCATCCTCCTGTTATTTTCGAAGAATGTTTCGCGGAAGGTTCCTTTAATGCAAATGGGATAATTACCATATTTAAGTGCCTTTTTAGAGCCTCGCGCCAAGACAGAGCTTCATACCTAAATGATGGCGTTGCGGTTTGTCTTCAAAACACAAACGTCCACAGTTTTTAACTATAAATGGTTATCTTTCAGTTCCTTATGCCAAATGGCACGTTTTCTTTACGATTAATTGGAAATTATTAGTTGGAGTGCTATAGGGCTCCTAATAAGAGACAGTCACGGGACCCCATACTTTTGGCCGTTATCTTTTGCGCGTGATACCACCAGGCTCCCATTTCATATTCGCCAAGAATAAATATCGTGATTGGGAAAATACGTGATTATGCCCGTTCAAGTAATACTTAACTTAATCGACGCCGTTGTTGGCAGATTGCTAACTTTTATAACCTTTAACAAATTGACGTCACGTGATTTGGTTCAGTTGGTTCGTGATGTGTTAGAGTAATTCGATGGGAGATTGGAAAGAGAACAGTGAGCTAACATACGCCCGATAAATATATTTATTTCAGCGTAAACTTTTTTTGTCCCTGTCAGTCCGCGTGTAAAGTTCGCAACAGAAGCTCATTTCCCTCTTCAATGTATCTCACTTCTTAGGCACGAAGTTAATCATATTATTCCTGAGGGATGACGATGTGTTCTCCAGCGATATTTGCTCGAAATTGTCGAAGTTTGGAAAGGTCTGAGTTTCGTTGAATGCCAGTAACAGCAAAATCCGACCGTCGCAGTAACTCATAGTCCGGTTCGTTTTTAAGTCAGAAGACATTGTTCCGTCAGCGGCTTTGCTCAAGAGCAGACCGCTTGGATGCGCTTTGCTCTGCCGCAGTTCCAAAGCTTGTTTTCCTACTTCCTGGAAGGGTCGCCTTCTCTATGTTTTTATGTTCTCGTAAATCGCACAGACCGCGAATCGCTCTAAGATACTATCTTTCTTTTTATGCATATGTCCTCTTCCATCGCATTTTCGTCTTAAGATCACTGTTTCTGGGAAGTCGGGGCACACTAGGTCTATTTTTGCCTTAATTTGTTTAAGATTGTGAATGTTCCCAACTTTCACGGCATATACGGGGCACCCTATGCTTTGTTTCAGCTTACGTCCAGGCGCAGCCCACGGCTAATGGAACTAATTAAGCAGAATAAAAAGCGGAAGCCACTATGGCATTTTCTGTTTATGACTAGTTCAACTTTCATAAAACACGCACAGGAAGATGACGAACACCATGTTGATGTGTTTTTGGTGGTCTATGATTGGTCCCTTCAGCTCGTAGCGTCGGCTGCGTCTGGACGAAACGAAGCATAGTTCCTATCAAAATCGCTTTCATCTGGATGATGGTCGCAGAACAGCTGAACGGGTATGGTCCGTGACGCCTAAGTAATTCTGGATTGGCGAATACGAGCTTTACATAGTAATTGCGCGTCAGAACGGAGTAAGGACGCACCTTTATTTTGAAGCCGATCATCCAGGAGCTAGGAAGCGCAATTCTCGCACCGCGGTACCACCATCGCTGAAAGTGTCGAATATTAAATGTTTTTGTCCTATTTTATTTTACACTCTAATGCGTTTTCACATACGAAGTACATGATAAAAATTGACTTCTATCTTTATGAACGAGGTTCCTCTCTCGAACTTCAAGTTGTCCTGTTTGCGCCGTTATAGAACCTACATTGTTCACCTATCAGTACACGCAGCTTTCTTGTGTAGGAAGGCTACGTCCAGAACGCAGCAGTGTTTGCGATTGGGGCTCAGTTTCACTCCAACAAGGTGTTCTTATACACCAGGATAACTTCATGCCATCAATAAGCACGTTTCACAGCGCAAGCGGATTTAGTGACAGTGTTTCAGTAATATTTGAATAAAAAATAACATAGCTGGTTTATCACTCTAATGCTGTCGCAATATTTATGTGCGCGCGTCGTAACTCTAATATTTCGAATGAAGCCCCAGAAGCTCATAAAAAAACAAAAGCTTACATTCCCGGCAAGGACAAACGACGCCAAAACAGGTGTAGCATATAAACATGCAGCAAAATATAAACTCTGCTCAGCAGAAAACCTTGGCCGGTTGACAGGACTGCAGGGCTCAGCATTGCTCTGCAGTTCCAGTTGCACAGGCCAGCGCAAAGCGAACGCTGAATCAGTCTGGAAATCCTTCTCTCATCTCGGAGCATTCTTTCCTGGGTTCCTATATAACTCCTCCTACCAAGCTTGTCTTGACATTCCCTTCGAACGAGTATCTGCCACTAGCACCTTAAAGGTAAGCGGAAGTTGCTATCAATAGTTCTTAACTTCGCTTTATTACCGTAATAAACCATTCAGGGGTGGTATTATATAATGTGTGGGGTTAAAAGACAATCGAAAATGGGTGTTGCAAGCCTTTAAGACTTACATGTCTTCAGCCTGAAGTTGCAAGTCTTCAGGCAGATCCGCAGGCGATGGCAACCTTGTAGTGGGAAAGACATGGAATTGCTGCACTACACTTCCCACCAAAATCATTATTATATGTGATTGTTCTTACCATTCTTAGAAATTTTCTTCAAACGTTCTTTTGCTAGGTGTTCGGCATTTCGTGAAGTCAAAAAGTGAAGTCTCGATAAAAAAGTGGCCGCGAGGCTCGACACTGATTGGTTGACAATTGGAGGTGGGGGAAAAGCCGGCCACCTGAGTGAAGAAGCGTTTTCGTCAGGCGGGTTTTGAAACCAGAGCCAAATTATTAAGCGAGTGTCTTTCAAGGAAGTCACCACACATTGCCGTGAGTTGAGGTAATATTTGGCAGGAAATTCCTGTGGGTCATACGCTCTACGTCCGGTATCAAATTTCTCGACAGTTAACACCCTATCACACGTTTTTAAAACCAGGGCAACCGCCTGCATCCCAATTCCAGGAGATGCTATGGAATGTGCATGCCACGCGTTACTCCAGTCGCTAAAATAACCGACGAAGAGCGTCGGGAGCATATCAACGCTGCACGTTTCACGTGCAAGACAATTTCCCAGGAATTTTCTATGCATGTCATACACTCACCTTGTTAACAATCTGCGTTTCTTCTATGTATGGTGAAATACAGTAAAGCTGCCAAAACGATATAAAATAATAAAAAAACGTATACATTTGCAGCCCTCCACTAAATGGTAAAAGAAACAATTTTAATTGTTTAGTTTATATATCTAATTGCTACTAACACACGGATAACTGTTTTATCTGAAGACACTAAACGTTTGGTAGATCACTGACTAAATTAACAAAGTTAGAAACGAACAACACAAAAAAGTTTAATTGTGTTATAGCGGCGACACAATCTTCGCAACCACGCGGTCACGCCGCATAGATTTCGAAGGTTGATCAGTTGACAACCGTCGCTCGTTTTACCACCACATTTCCAGGAGTGAATTTGGATTTTTCCGGAAGCTAGACAACATCGCCTCACAATGAAGGTCGTCGGAATTGCTCTTGTTGTCGTGCTCATCTCAGGTAAAATCACTTTTTAAATATCTCCTCCTGTCTTGTTTCAGCTTACAAAAAAAGGTATTTTTTTTCAGGCCTTTTCAGCTTTTCGTGCTCTCAACAACACGATAGTCAAGTACTTCACGTCAGAGTTCGTGAGTCTGCGTTTTATATGTCGCACTGTATACGCAAATGTGGACGATCTCCTGCCAAATTCATATCAGTAGAATCTTGAACGTTTTGATCATTAAGCACTGTGATTGATATAACATGAAGCGGCTTGCATGCAAGTAATTTATATTTGGCACAAGATACGATCATCTCAATGTCATACATTCCCGACGCTTGCGCATACCTTACATTTTTTTCTTAATTGCCAACATAATACAACTGATAACAGATCAATTCAATACGAATTGTTTACCTGACCCAGAAGTTTAAAAACACTGTCACTGTGTAAAAAAAAAGTGGCCACAATTTTGTTCCGAAATGACACATTTATGTAAATTCAAGCTAACAAGGCAATTAGTGTCCGGCATTCGAATTTTATACAACAATGTTTTAGCGTTTTGCGATTCGCTTTGTTGTGTGTTTTGTTGCGAACTTTACAGAGAGGCCAATATTGCTACTTCCGTGACTTCAGTTGAAATAAGCGTTTACAATGTGTGAAGTGAATGTAAGGGCCCAAACAGACTGGCTTAAATTGAACATGAACACAACTGCAGGAAAATCCAAACCAACATTAAATTGCTTTGAGGCCATTTAGTGTTTCTGTCGGGCTTACCTGCAGTCTCAGGGTTTATGCCACGTTTTCGTATTTGGCACAAAGAACATAAATCGAATACACGCAAAATGCGGGATGTTTGAACCATTTTAATCCCTACAGGTCGCGGGTTTGGGTGTCCATTCAGCCAAGCAGCCTGCCACGGACACTGCATAAGCATCAGACGCCGGGGCGGATATTGTTCAGGATGCGCCAAGCAAACTTGCACCTGTTACCGGAAATAATGCAAAGCGATGGAAAGCGCTGAAAGTTCGTCTAATGTCATCATGTGCAAAACGGGTCGGTTAGAATTCCTAGTCGCCGTATAATAATTTAAAACCGGTCTGGATCTGAACAACGGCCGCAACAATTTATTCAATAGAATATAATTTTCCGTAATAAATAAACCCGGAATTACAAAGAGCGTTTTCAATTCTGGAATAAAGTAAAAGCGTCCAGGTGTGTTCACTTCATGAATTAATAATCTTCATTTCGTAGAGAGAAAGGTGGACGAAAAATGGGGGCTTTTAGGAGTTTTAGCCTATTTTTTAGAAATAAGGCGGCCTAGTTTTGTAGGCCCTTATCTCGTATTTAAGGTATCTGAGGATGCAAATGAAAGAAGAAAGATTGACACGAACCTCAAAAGCTGGCTCTTTGTGTACGGTCGTTTTGTGATCGTAATCATTATCAATACAGCTCTTAACACGTTTCTTGATGTATTTATTTCTTCGAGGACAATCTATCCACTCGATATGGTCAAACTTTCTCAACTTTTAACACACTGCGCGGGAAACGGCCGCAACCCCCTCGCAGGTGCTGACAGGTCATTGCACTTTCCTGTTTTGGGCTTTAAGGTGTTTTTCAACTGCCGGGAGTTTAAAAGGAGCACTGCAAACAATATTCAAGCAGATTCGTTTCCAATTTGATTGAAAGCATTGACACCGGCCGAAAAAAAAAACATTAATTTTGTACATGAATGCAGTGATTATATTTGTCTGTTTGCTTTCGTTTTAGTGGAAATACTCAATTTTGTCACGGATTGAAAACTAAAATTAGAGAATAGTGGTAGGTTTAATGAAAATTTACCGACGCTCATAGAGGGTAACAATAAACGGTGAGCCTCTCTATGCAAACGTTATGAGCTAGCACATATAATAGTTTTTGGTTGTCCATCGCCGTAGTCGAAGTATACATGGTAATATAAGTACTACGTCGACAATGCCGACCTGTTGTAGCTGGGCTCGTACCATACTCCGTTCACTCCTGATATTGCAGTGAGGAAGCGTTTTGACCGTTGGATCAGTAATATAGCACCCAGTGATCTCGATTTTGCCTCACACTTATGCACGGACAGCGGGGCCATGTGATGAAGGGGAGGCGGTTAATCAATCTGGCAAGCGCGTAGTTCATACCGCATGTGTCAGTTGAATGTTGAAGGGTGTATATAGAAAGCGTATCAGAAGGAAAGCACTGCAGTCACCCAACCCAAACCCGAAAGAAATATTCTAAAGGTGCTGCATATTGTTTATTTTGGCACGTATACAGCCGCTGTTACGTATTTATGATATCTGAGTAATACATTTTTTTCTTTACCTTTGCGTGGCCATTATCGCAATAAATAAGATTTCAAACGCGATAAATATTCAGCATTATAAGAGGCAGGGTCGTAAAGTCACTTGAAAAATGTACCTAAGATACAGTTGCCGTTACTCGTGCGATAGGGTACGTATAGGTACGTACCTAGGTGCTCGCTACAAAATAAACCTAGGTAGCGGTGCATTTATTTCAAAGATATTTTATTTATTTTCCCCAATTTTGTCAGAATATATTGAAAGTAAAGTTTTTTATACTACGGATACATACAAAAAGGAGTACGGTAAATGTGCTTTATTGGTGTCGGGAGGCACTCAATTGATCGAATGACGTTTTAGCGAACGTCCACGTTTCACCGAATGACACCTTAGCGAATAGTCGGACGCCGCGAAGCGTCGTTTTCGGGTGGCCCAAATGGGTTTATATTCTTGTAATGAGCCGCCGCAGACTGTCGCCGCGAAGCGGCGTAAAGCACAGCGCGGTGGATGGGTTAACGCGCGCCCCGGTTATTCGCTAAAACGTCCATTCGCTCAAATGTCGCTGCTCGGTAAAATGCCATTCGCTCATGTGATATGGACCCATTGGTGTCAATGCAATGTCCACATCGGAGTTAAGCCCTCACGTGCCTTATTCCCACGATCCAATTGGTTCACAGAGGCCACAGCTTCCACTGTTTACCATGTCACGCCGAAACCGCCGAAACTCGATTGTTGACGTTCTTGCCCTCAGAGTCGGTGCTGACGACGACGGGCCCAGAAGACGTCGGCCGCATGAAGAAACGCATGAGTAGGGTGCATATGCACCGAACCTTCGCGACAACGAGCGAAAGGCTTCAAGCTTCCTCGTTTTTGTTTTCTTTTGTTAGTTGGAAAAACATTCTGTTTTCTTTGGGAACTTTTTTAGTTTTGATAACTGCAAAATTTGAGTTCGAGTTATTGACTGGAGATTGTATTATAAAGGCGATTGTACTTTGCTTTACGATGGCAATTATAATTTATTTTAAATTATATTTTATATTGTATTTATCGCAGAAGGGAGCGACCTCCAGAACAAGATATAGAGAACAGAAACAGAGTACATCTTTCAAGTGTTTTCCTCCCTTGTATAGCTTTCAGAGATGCTTCAAACACGCAATGAAGTCGATTTCGGTTTGAGACGAGAGAAGCAGGTCGCCAGTTTCCTTAAACGGAGTTCCGAATTATAATGCAATTAAATGCAAAGGTGCAAGCGAGTTGGACAAGAATGACACAAATAATCCCTGGAGAAGGGGAACAAGAGGGGCAAATTACAAACATACAGGCAAGAAGCGATTCCATAAATTGGTGTCGGTAGACTGGCATCTCTAATCCACCGTTCACTCAAATTAACACCGCCATTCGCTAAAGTGTAATTCGATGAAACATCATGGGCGGGGCTTCGTTCGCTAAAACGTCTTTCTATCATGTCGGTACCTCCCAGTTCGTACCCAACTTAACGTTAATCACGGCACATGGTAGTGTGTTAATACTTCAAGATTGATAATTTCTACCATTTTGACGAAGTGAATAGAAAAGTACTCGCCAAAAGTAACTTCCCTTCGTTACTATCTGAAGTTACTTTTACTAAAAAATTACCTACGTTACTAGAAAATGTACCTGAGATACAGATACAGATACCGAGAAATGAATGTACCTCGGTTTGTAGCTCAGGTAGAACAAAAGTACCTGGATACCAATTTCCTGTTACATGTACCGTGGCACTTTACAACCCTGATGATAGGCAACTAATTGTTGAGGGGCATGGAATAGAGAACGTAACCATTCAAGAAGGAAAGCAGGACACCTCAACGGTGACCTCAATTCAAGTCCGGCAGTGGCGCAATAAAGTTATTTTTAAAAGTAGACTCTCCGCTTTTTACCGACAAAACACGTCTGCGTCGGTGGTATAGTGGTAAGCATAGCTGCCTTCCAAGCAGTTGACCCGGGTTCGATTCCCGGCCGACGCATAAACTAGTTTGTTTTTCTTTCCCTTTATGTAAATGTTTTGTCGCTCAGTCCATACTGCATTTGAAGTCGCAGCAACCTGTTTTTTTACGATTATTTATCCTTCAATTATTTACCAATCCATGGGCTTAATTTAAAGGTAAAAATGTATCGAACGAACAACATTAGTTTGGACGACTCTTGCTGATACGTTGAGAAATCTATGTACACTGACCGTCTAAACTTGGTTCAAAGCATTAGTGTAAAGGCTGTGGCAACATTGCCTCCAGCCAAATTACCCATGCGCCAGGTTGAATACTGGGAATATACGTATATACGCTGCCCACGCTCGCATAATCAGTTTGTGGGGTTCCAAGTAAATAATTTATCTAAGGCATTAAAGAACGCACGTGCAAAGTGTATTTTCTTCTAGGATCAGTGAGGGCTGCACAGTTTAGCTCCTGCTGCAAGTGAACCTACACACTAACAACATCTTCCCTGGTGCATGGGCCCTTTAGAAGAAAAATAAAGTACTATTGATGGGGCATGACTGAAGAACCAAACATAGCGCTGGTCCAGTGTTTAGCAACTCCTGCCGAGCGCTGCTTCATAAACGCAAACAAATTAACTGATTTTCACATGTGATTGCTTCTCAACTAAGCCGGTGCGGGGCGCCACGCTTAGATTTCGTTCCCAATTGCTTTGACAGCCTAGGAGTGCTACAGTAACTACGCTAGCTTTGATCACGTGGCACACGGTGCTGACGCCGAGTTTAGAAGTCTGCAAACAGGTGGCGGCGTGCGCCTCGATACCGACCGATTCTTCCGGTATAGAAACGAAGTGAGAATATGAACCGTCAATTCCCTTTCCCAATTCAACGTTGTAAGGAGTACCTCAAAACCCAGGAGTCGGCAGCTCGGTGCAACGAAACTCTTTGCCGAACTACCAAATATGCACTGAACCTGTAAAGTGTATGATCACTTTCAGGCCTAGGACTTCATATTAGACACAGTCTACTATACCTAGTTGTTTCGTTGTATTTTTATTCAGGCATTTTCACAAAAGACCGTTTTTGTTGGCTCCACAACTTTGCATGTCAGCTGTGTGACGTTATTCACGTTAGTGTCGTTCATGTGTTTTTTACTCGCTGGTCAGGATGCAGTGAAGCATGAACGATCCGGTTCGCAAGTTCGAATTCTTTCTAGGTATTTGGTTTGCTTGTGGTGGCCTAAAGTTTCAACGCGGGGGGGGGGGGGGGGGTGTTACTTGCAGTTGAGTAAGGACAGATGGGGATAAGTAACGAAGGCGACACGACATAATATAAAATAGAAAAGCGAATTCCCCTCTGAGGTGGCGCATGTTTCTATCACGACACCGGTGGATGAATCAGTTGGCGGTTTAACAGCGAAGCTGTTTATGGCTAGGGTTCCGTAGAATTTTCCACGGAACCCTTTCGTGTGCAATAACTAAAACTTCCAAGCCTGCACCGCCGCACGAGCCGCACGGGCGCACCTTCTCTGTATAAAACATTCGAAGGGAATAACCAATACAAAGCGTTGACGAATGCGCGTGCAAAATGCCGTTCGTTCTAAGCTTTTGCTTTAGAAACGTTACGGTTGCAGACGCTGGCACGTGCGGCGCGTGCGAGACCATTCCCTGTATTCTCCTTTATGCTTGGGTAATTTAGCAAT